TAAGCTGTCCAGGCTTATTTCCTCAGGGCCCCAACAAGTCTCATGTCAGGCCAGGTTCTGAGCCGCACATTCATACCTGTTATTTGCTCTGCTCTGAGGGTGGTTTTTCTGCCTGAGGGGGTATCTGTAGGCCACCACCATTCCTCACAGTATAACCTACCACTATCATGTGCTTCCATTGACATAGGCTACCTTCTGTCTCACTGTTGTTGTCTGTAGAGTGAGTGAGCATTTCCTCCAAAGCAGCACACTGACAGTTCTCTGTCCCATGTCCTCTGTTAGCATCAGGTGGAATTGTTTGCAGTGATGTGTTATTGGAGGGGACTTGTTTATCAGGCAAACTAGGGGAAAGCATGAGCACTTCAGCCTTGGTGCTTTCTGGGGCGTGTGCTCCGTCCCAGGGAAGTGACTGGAATTACTGAGGCTCTAAATTTGAGCAAAAGTTACAGCAGCTGGTTTGACGCAGAAAGAAACTACATCATTGCTCCCCATCTCTGTCATTAACAGCATCATGTGCACACGGGACGCGTCCTGAAATGTGGACTTTCTTCCCTGAATAAGTAAAAATGCAGATGCCACCAGGAGTTGATCACAGTCTGAAAATCACTTGGTTCCTTCTGGTCACCTTTTTCCCATGGCTTCTCTCCTTTCCTTCCATGAGAGCTTAAAATTTCCAGACAGAGAGCTGTGGAGATGGCTCAGGTGGAGAGCTTGTTGCAGAAGCGTAAGGACTGGGTTTGATCCCGTAGAACCCACGTGGAAAGTGTGCACCTTTGTAATCCCCATGCTAGGGAGGCTGGCCCTGGCAGATCCTGAAGATTTCCTGCTCCGCCAGGTTCACCAGGTTCAGGGAGAGACTTAGTCTCAAAAAGTTAAGAGAGAGTCATCGAAGTCACCTGACATTGACCTCTGGCCTCTACAAGCATGCTCACACATGAGTACACACACACACACACACACACACACATACACACACACACGTACACACATACAAAATTCCAAATATTTTTTTTTCAGTCAGCATCTTCTCATTTTTATATTTTCCCCTAGTCTATCCAAGGGCACCCTAATTTGTACACGATTCATCTGTATTTTGGTACTAATTAAAACTAAAGGCAGCATAGTTTCAAGATGAAATAAATGGATTTATATGGAGTGCTGATATGTAGGGTTTATTACATTTATGCATTGTTTATTTGGAATCAACTGAGTTTCTATATGCCAAGGCTACTTACAGATAATACTGGAAAGATCCTGGTATGAGGAAATGTGTTGCACGTAATACACTTGAAAGTACAGAATCGGTGTTTAAGATGGTGGCTGGGGGGTGACTGAAAGATCAGAGAGGTTGTTGATCAAGCAGGCAAGACAGGGCCCTAGGGGAATCTGCATTCTGGCCATGTTCCTTTCTTTTTTTAATTTTTATTTTTTTAATATTAGTTACAGTTTGTTAACTTTGTATCCCTGCTGTATCCCATTCCCTCTTTCCCTCCCAATCCCACCCTCCCACCCTCATCTCCTCCCTGCCCCTTTCCAAGTCCATTGATAAGGGAGAACCTCCTTCCCTTCCATCTGATACTGGTTTATCAGGTGTCTTCAGGACTGGCTGCAAAGTTCTCCTCTGTGGCCTAGCAAGGCTGCTTCTCCTGGGGGTGGTGGGGAGGAGGTCAAAGAGCCTGCCATCGAGTTCATGTCAGAAACAGTCCCTGTTCCCCTATTAGGGTACCACTTGAATACTGAGCTACCAAGGGCTACATCTGAGCAGGAGCTCTAGGTTGCATCTATACATGGTCCTTGGTTGGAGAAACAGTCTCATAAAAGACCCCTGTGCCCAGATGTATTTGGTCCTTGTGGAACTCCTGTCCTCTCCAGGTCGTATTAACTCCCCCCGCCCCCTGGCTTTTTGGTTCCGTGCATTCTGTTGGAGGTTTGGTTATGAGTCTTAATATCTGTTTTGATACACTGCTAGGTAGAGTCTTTCAGAGGCCCTCTGGTATGCTCCTGTCCTTTTACTTGTTTGCTCCTACATCCAATGTCCATCCCATTTGTCTTTCAAAGTGAGGACTGATCATCGTACCCTGGGTCCTCTTTCTTGTTTATCTTCTTTAGGTGGATAGATTTCAGTATATTTATCCTATCTTATAGGTCTATGTAAGTGAGTATATACCATGTGTGTCTTTCTGCTTTTGGGATACCTCACTCAGGATGATCGTTTCTAGATCCCACCATTTGCCTGCAAATTTCATGATTTCCTCGTTTTTAATTGCTGAGTAGTATTCCATTGTGTAAAAGTACCACAATTTCTGTATCCATTCCTAAACTGTGGGACATCTGGGTTGTTTCCAAGTTCTGGCTATTACGAATAAAGCTGCTACAAACATGGTTGAGCAAATGTCCTTGTTGTGTACTTGAGCCTCTTTTGGATATATGCCTAGGAGTGGTACAGCTGGATCTTGAGGTAGCACTATTCTTAATTGTCTGAGAAAGCGCCAGATTGATTTCCAGAGTGGTTGTAGAAGTTTGCATTCCCACCAGCAGTGGAGGAGGGTTCCCCTTTCTCCACAACCTCTCCATCATGTGTTGTCACTTGAGTTTTTGATCTTACTGGTCATGTTCCTATTAGTGCCTTCCTCGTGTGCCATGAAGTTGTCAGCCTGTGGTGGAGGTCTCAGCCATGAAGTTGCTGGCCTAGGCCAGAGGTTCAGTGTCTCTTCCCTTCCTCTGCCCTGTAAGATTAGTTCCTGGTTTCAGTAGTGGAAAACACTCCTGTAAGATAGGGACCTGTCACAGCCTGTTTGTGCGTGTTCTCTGTGTCACTCGGTGTTCCTCTTACCCAGAGCAGACATCTTTATCATTTTCTGTATCATTGTATAACAGTAATCACACCTAGAGGCCCAGTCCCAGCCTTTCTTGACAATCTGTTGTTCAGTATGCAGGCTTTGGGGAACCAGGATATCAGTATGGAGGGAAACAATGATGGAGAGAAAGGGATGCAATCAGCCCAGATAGTCCACACAGACAGGGGGAAGCTCTGGCCCTTTATGAGAGAATGATATGGGCCTGTCCAAGGTGTTTCCCTTAGAGTAGAAGGAATACTCGCTTGCCCACACCTACTGCCAATCAAAACACCGGAAGTTGACTTTCCAATGCTGACTATGAAATGCATATTTTCAGCTGGAGGATGCTTCTTTAAGTTGCTTGGTTAAGCCAAGTAGTATCACTTATACCTGCATTAGTAAGATTGTGTGTGTGAGTGTGTGAATCGCCTAACCTTATTTCAGAGCCTTTCTGGTTCCATCCATTTTAAGTGGCTCTTGGCATGTAGAAACAGAGTTGACTCAATGAATAAATAATGAGATTATCTTAAAGTATGCACTTGGAAATTCTTCCTTTAAAAATCACAGAAGTAATGTTTGTATTTAAAAATTCAAATAGTACAGGATGGAAAGGGAACACAGTCGTTTCCCCCACCACACATATGCCTGACTTCCTCCTCTTAGCTCACAGGATTCAACTAAGCTTCATACTCTCATTTGTTTTTGTGTATCCCTTTTGGTTTTCTTTTTAACCATAATTTTTTTCCCATTGTGTGTGTGTGTGTGTGTGTGTGTGTGTGTGTGTGTGTGTGTGCGCGCGCGCGCGCGTGCACTTGTGGGAGTGCACATCAAGGCCAGGGGTCTCTGTTGCGTGGCTTCTGATATATGCTATCTATGAATTATTGTCATAAAAATGTAGCCAAGCCTCAAACTAGCAGTTTAACAAAAATCGAGGCAGTAATAATTTTTAAAAAGCCAAACATACTATGTGGCCAGAGTCAGCCATAGCACATGGGGGACTCCTCAGAACAAATGACCCAGTTTCTTTCATCATAAATTGCAAGGAAGAGAGGGGCCTCAGTCTGTAAAGCACATGCCTCTTAAGAGTGAGGACCCAAGTTGGGATCCCCAGCACCTACTTAAAAGCCAGGCACAGCAATGCACACCTTTAATCTCATTGCTGGGAAAGCAGAGACAGGAGGGTCCCTGGAGGTCACTGGCCTAGCTGGAACAGTTAGTTTCAAATAAAGTAAAAAGTAAAAAGAATTTGGGGATGTATCTCAATTTCAGTGGAGACCTAGGTTCAACCCCACACACGGACACACACACACAGAGCCTGTAACTGTGCCCATTTTTGTTCTCCGTACCCACAAGTTGTAGAGGTTAGTTGGTGGGTCATAAATTCAGCAATAGTATGGCAACAGAGGCACTTCCTGGAGAGGATGGTACAGGAGACAGCAATCTGAGCTGCACTTAGGGAAAGCTGTTGGTTTGTTTGCTTCTCTGAAAACTGGAAGCATTTGTGGTGGCCTGGTGTGTCCCTTCCTACAGCAGGTAGCCAGGCCCCGTGCAGATCAGAGAAAGGCAGTACACATTGTTAGAGGCAGAGGGACAGACATAGGAAAAAAAGCCCTGACCCGAGGACCCCCTGATGGCTAAATTGGCAGCAGCCTCTGTCTGCACGAGCCACAGCTGAACAAGTCACCAGTGGGGATGCTGAGCTCTGTCTCTGCTGGAGGCCAGCACGTGAGCTTTCTCTGCGGAACAGTGTTTGGCTTTCTCTGCGGAACAGTGCATTATTTCCTGTCCCGTGAGATTGCCTGTATTTCTCACTCATCACCCAGCGGGAATTCAGCGACCGACAGAGCTTCTCGGCCTGTGGTGCCTTTGGGGCCAGGCTCAGCCCTTCTGCAGATGACCTCTCAGTACACCACAGCCTTTGAGAGTAAGGCTGTCACAGGCAGGATGATCGGTGGTGGCCAGATGGACCCCCGATGGGAGTGCTACCTGAACGTGAGCCTCTCCCTTAAGAAGAACAGCTGTAGACTTTCCTCAGTTATAATCTTAGAGTTTCCAAAGGGGGCTAGTGTGCTTGTTATGTGGTGATACGTATATTTTACTGTCAGATGCAATGTGCCTTTTCGTTTTCCTTAATATTCCCTTTTCTCCCCTCCCTTTTCCAAGCCCCAGAAGAAGAAAGCGGGAAGCCTTTCCAGTGCCCAATATGTGGTTTGGTTATAAAAAGGAAGAGTTATTGGAAACGGCATATGGTGATTCACACAGGCTTAAAAAGTCACCAGTGTCCACTCTGTCCATTCCGGTGTGCTCGCAAGGACAATCTGAAATCCCACATGAAGGTAAGCCGTTTGTAGATGGTGTGGCTGGGGTTCCTTCCTCTTAACTGCTGCAGGAGGCTTCTTGGCTCACAGGGAGCGCTGCAGTGGAGCAGTCCCAAGAAGCTAGTACTGTGTTGTGAGGGGTCTTCCTCAAGGAGGACCCTCAGTTTTAGGATCAGGTCCCCGAGACCGTCAGTGTTTAAGCTAGCATTTCTTGGGTGACAACAAACATCTAAGGACTTCATTTTTTTTCTCCCCTTCTTCTTCTTCCTTCTCCTCCTTTTTGGCTTTTTGAGTCAGGGTTTCTCTGTGTAGTCCTGGCTGTCCCTGGAACTTGCTCTGTAGATCAGGCTGTTCTCACCTCATGAAATCCACCTGCCTCTGTCTCAAGTGTTGGGATTAAAAGTGTGCACCACTGCTGCCTGACTTACATAATTTTTAATGTCCTACTAAAGCCACTTGTGGGGTCTGGGGAGAGGCTCAGCAGTTAACCGCTTGACAAGTTAGCATGAGACCAAGTTTCAGTTCCCAGAAACCCTTGTGAGAGGTGGGTAGGGGTGCTCTGTAATTCCACCCTCAGATGGGGAAACAGGATTCTCCTAGTAAGCTGGATAACTAAGACTAGCCATGTCAGCTAGCCATGGTTTGATTGACAAACGTTGCCTCAACGACTAAGGTAGATGTGTGGTCAAGGATGAGTCTTGACCTCTGTCTGTGGCTTCCACATGCATGTGCACACGCCTGCAAACACGTGTGTGCACCCACAAGCACAGGTGCCCCAGTACGCATGCAGTCACATACACATCCGGACACCACACACTCTTATACCGGCCGAGCTTTGCTTCAGCTTTGGGAACTCATGAGGTCGCAAGAACTTGTGATAAAGACCTGAATTGAAATCTCCCCAGCACTTTGCTGGCCAAACGGCCTTGGGCAGGTAACATTCAGTCTCTCAGTTTTCCCTTCTACCTAATGGGAAGGAGCAGCCACAGGAGCTGTCCTTAGTGCTAAAGGAGAAACCAGCAGCAGAGCGCCCAAGCCAGAGGTGCTCGTCACCACGCCCTAGCATAGTAGTGAGAAGGATTATGTTTTATTGATACCTCTCAATGTGGCTTAGGTGTGACATTATGTGTAGTGTCTCTTCCCCCAGATAACTCTAGTAGATTTTTGGTTATGTTGAAATCTGCATTTGAATCTCTCTGCGTAGATCAATTCCAACTGAAGCTCTGGAAAGTGCAGTCACACAAAATTTCTATTCACTATAGAAACTAGCTTAGAAGATAAAGAGTAAATATGTGATGTGATTTGTTTTCTCTCATTTGCCTTTTTCTCCTGGGGTCAGCAGCTGGCCCTTCATCTTCAGAATTCACTTAAGCAGGAGGTCTGGTTGACCGAATTTTAGGAGTCCTGGGTCATTACCTTAGCACTCCTCATCCTCGACACTTATTCCCTGGGTGAGACGTCACGCTTTAAACCTGTAGCATTGAGACTTCAAAAGGAATGTCTTTTTTCAAACTAGAACTTGCGTTAGTGGCTGTGCTTAGAAGTCGGCCTGGCAAATTTAAAGCTTCAGTGAGCAGAAAACTTGCATCTACGCTGACACCTTGTAAGCTTGGTTTCAGCTCAGGGTCACTTAAAACAACCTATTTATAAACCCATGGAAAAAAAGGCTGGGTTTCAATAGCAGGAACTGCTGACCCTGACGCTACAGGGAGATGAGCTGGTGCCTTGATGACAGAGGCGGACGGCCATGACAGTGGTGCAGATGAGAGCTGCCCGGGCTCAGCAGGTCGTGGGGTCCTGAGTGCTTTCAGAACAAATCAATAACCACTACAATAAAGCAGTTGTGTGAAATCGCTACTTTATTCAAACTCGTGGTGTCCTATCCCACTGAGCTGTGACTCACGCGTTTGATAAGGGGAGTTGGAGAAGCACGTATGCAAGTTTAATTTTATCAAAGGCATGTCTTCTTGTCCCTGCTTTCCTCCTCCTGTTGGCCTTAAAGCATTTTTTATTGAATATAACTTAACTTTGCAAAACTTGGCAAATATTTTCCCCGTAGGAATGTTACGGTGTGCTCTTATGCATATCCATTTCCTGTTACCTTTACCAGATGCTGAAAATGTACATAATTTTTCTAAAACGATTTTATCTGAGAAGTAGGGGCGGTCTAGCTAAAGGTTAAGATTTGACTTAGCTTCGTGAGAATCTCTGACTGTGATCTTAGCTTGGGGAGAATTCCTGGCTTAGGAGCTGTGAGTGCTTAGTGTGTTTGAAGCCCTCTAAACCTGTTACCACTAATGGAGAAAACAAACATATGGTCTTTCTCACTGGGTAAGAGTTAGTGAGCTCATTCATGTAGATCCTTACTACAGAGCCAATGTGGAGAAGCGACTGTCAGGACAGCTAATGCAGCCATTATCACCCGAAAGCCACCTGAAAATACATCAGCAGATACATTTAGTGGTAATGAGTGGATGTTAGAAGAAGTTCTCCAAAATAAGTTTTATGGCTTCTCTCTCTTTGTGATCCAGCTTTAGTGCTGAGAATTTACAGAAACTGATACAAAGAACATGACATTGGCCATTTATCTCCTCCCACAGAGGTAGCCGTTATCTCCTGCACTGATCATAATGGTTTATGCAAAAACAAAAAACAAAAAACAAAAAACAAGATATTCCACTTTCTTTGTTCAACCAATTCAGCACTTCCTGTCTTCCTACACGGGCTAGGCACTGCACACTTTTTCTTCTCAAGCCTTCACTTCCTCCATAACATTTATGCGAATGCTTTTGTGAGCAGCTCCATTAGGAACCTGAACGTACCTGCAGCTCCCTCAGGGTTGTCTTAGACCTCATGAGGTCTTACTCAACTTTCCTGTGTGAGTGTGCCCACAGGAGTTATATGTGAGGCTCATGAGCTCAGACTGAATGGAAATGCCAAAGAGAAAGGGCTGTGGAGATGGAGAACACAAATGACATCATGGAAAGAAACTGGGCGAGAGTTCACATGCTATTCCTCCCTTCTGAGGTCTGCGTTTGGAGAATTGGGGCCACTCGTGAGCCCCTTGGTTGCCTGGGCTGGTCCCCTGAGGAAGCTGAGTGTAGATACTCTCCAGCTTCCCTCCCAGTCTTGAGGGATGTCAACCGAAGTGTTGACGTACCACCTAGTGTACACCACCTCTCTTTACCCGGGAAGTGTCCTTGCGCCATGTCAGTGAGACCTGTCCGAGAATATTGTGCTACCAGTCAGCATGTCTTCTCATCAGAGGTTCAGCGGGGACTTCAAAGCATGTGTTGGCCAAAAGGGAACCAAAATTATAATGGAAAGTTTCTCTTGTGTCAGGAGAGGAGGGAGCTGCCACCACCAGGCGGGGGGGACAGTACTTCTCTCAAAGGCTTGCATTTGGGTGGGAAGGTGTAGCTCCAATAAAACCACACGCACCAAGTGAACCCCGTTCTGTTTTGCCTTTGCTTACACTGGTTTTCCTGAAAATCAGTACAAGGCCAGGCTGAGGTGGAAAAGGAGCTGCAAGCAGTCTTGCTCATGGTGCCTCAATTCAGGGAGTGCCACCCTCACCCCATCCCCCTCTGATTTTGGAATCTGGGCTCATCAGTCCATTTCTTCGTCCATGGTGGCTTCTGGAGCTTCTTTCCCTGGATTAGCCCCTCTCTGGGGTCAGTAGATATGAGGACACTTTTGAAATGGAATCTGCCCTGCGGCACTGGACTCAGGGGCATGGAAGCTTCCTGCCCAGTGACCTTTACCACCTGACTCTGAGCATGCCTGTACTGATACCTGTTGGGAGCCCTTGAGACTGTGACCCGAGGCCTCCAACAGTCCTTTTCCTGAGTGACCTGGGCTGAGGAGCTGGGGGGGGGGGAAGCTTCTGGATTCAGTGAGAAAGCCAATGAACGGATCAGTGCCCAGTGAGATCCTATTATGGCAAAGAACAGGAAGGGGTTCTGTTGCAGGGAGGGACAGGGTGTCTCCTTACCTCTGCCCTCTGCTGGGGTACAGGAGAAGCTTCTTAATGCGTAGGGCCCTGTCACAACTGGATTTAAGTTTTTATGGTTACTTCTGTTGAGGAACACAGGCTTTGAGGGCCCAGAATATCTTGCTGTGTTTTGCAGAAAACCACAGTGGGGTGCTGTGGCAGCGGGATCTTGCGATTAACTTTTAATTTCTTTGCTTTTGTTGGTCACTTCACATTATTTAAAGTGTGTTTTGGCTGGTGAAGAATGCTTTTGGATTTCTTTCAGAGAGCATAAACAGCTGTAGTAAAACCTGCTCTCTTGGGAAACGAGAGCCGAGCAAAGCGGCCAGGTGGTACAGAAGATGGGCAAACGAGCCTTTAACGTCTCTGAGACCCAGGTTCAAATCCCACTCAGGTCACCCCTGACCTATGGAGCGTCAGTTTTGCTTTGAGTGCCAATTGCTTACGTTCTTGTTTGTTCAGAGCACACCACTCTCCCAAATCACTTGGCTCAGATCTACACTATTGGCAGTTCCGACTCCAGGGAGGGCCAGCCCTGAAATAGCAGGGCGCAGCAGGTCAGTGCCGAAGCACGTTGGCGAGATGAATGGGGAAGTCGCAAGTCCATGACTACCTGCCAGCTCGAAGCCTGGCTGGGGCCAACACAACCGTTTCCTCACTTTTTCAAACACTAAATTTGGTAGCGACAGGAAGAAAGAGAAGGTTCTCACCATTTTTGCAGGTCCAGGGTACAGGAAGGTTTGGAGCTGGGTGTGAAAGTCTGTCCTCACTCTTCTAGACCCTGTGGCGACATTTGAACGTGGTTTCTTTCTGCCCAGATGGTTTTTCTCTTGCGTTTCTTCTTATGAAACTGGGTTCAAGATACTTCTTGAGGGCTAGGGTATTCCCTCTTCTCACCTATGAAGCTGGAGTACCCTGGAGACATTCCCCCTCTGTTGTGTTGGCAAGGCTGTGTCGTTTGACCCTTAGCTACTGATTATGTAAGTTCACAAGGTATAGCAAGTGAGATCAGTTGACAAGCTCATTAGAAGAGTCTACCCAGCACTTGGGGAGATAGAGGCAGGCAGATCTCTGTGAGTTCAAGGGCAGCCTGGTCTACAGTGAGTCCAGGACACATTCTACAGAAGACAGCACTGAGGCTTTCAGGATGGAGATTTAATCTCTCCTTTATGTCTCAGGACTGGCTTTATTTTACCCAGCGCATCATTGGGAACACCTCTCTGATGCTGTTCTCCCCTGGTGCCGTGTGGACTGAGGGACTGAGTGGTGAATGCGAGCTGCTGCAGAGAGGCGTTTTCCGTAAGTGCGTGGTGACCAGTTCAGCTCTGCTTGTGTCTCCGGCAGGTTCATCAGCACCAGGACCGGGGAGAGACCTTTCAGTGCCAGCTGTGCCCTTTCACTTCCTCACGCCACTTCAGCCTGAAACTGCACATGCGTTGCCATCAGCACTTCCTGAGGACAGAGGCCAAGGTGAAGGAGGAGATCCCAGACCCAGATGTCAAGGGATCTCCCCACCTCAGTGACAGTGGCTGCCTGGGGCAGCAGAGGGAAGGAGGAGGGACAGAGCTAGTGGGGACCGTGATGACGTCCAATACTCCAGAGAGGACTGGCCAGGGTGGGGCTGGCTTTGCACCTTTGCTGGTGAAGGAGGAGCCCAAGGAAGATAACGGCCCGCCTACCTCCTTTACCCCGAATGCTGCCGACAGGCCCGCCAACCACACAAAGCTGAAAGACCCCTCCGAGTATGTGTCCAACAGTGCGGCAGCGTTGTTCAGCCAGGACATCTCGGTTAAGATGGCCTCCGATTTTCTCATGAAGCTGTCAGGTACTGTTAGGGTTGTGTTCCCCGTTTTCTCATCTGTGATAAGGTGGCAGGGCTAGATGATGTCAACGTTCTTTGAGCTCTAATACTTCATATTTTGAGAAATTTTCTTTTTCCTTTTCTCTCCTTCCCTCACTCCCCCCACTTCCTTTTTTATATTTTGTTTTGGTATTCCTGTGAAAACAGACTTCTGCTTGGGTCTGGAAACAATAGGGACTGCCCCCTACTCTTGCTGGATTTGGGCTCCCTCTTAGGGGGCACGAAGAGGGTTACGTCGGTTTGTGTCCTTTGCTTCCTGCAACCTGGGGTCTAGTCACGTGGCTTCCTTTGTGCTGGTATCTGCAGTGCATCTGTGAGGGTCTCCCTTTTTTGGTATTCAGGTTCTTTGTTGTTTTAATTGCAAAGCTTCTTAAAGAACCTATACAGGGTCTGCCATAAGGAGACCTTTCTAACTTAAACAAAGGTTAAAGGCTATCACGAGTTAACCTTTGTCTTGGGGTAAAACATACTTAAGGTCCTGGCTTAGACAATTTTTTAGGTGTGCATATCAGTGGCATTAACATTTACATTGCTGTATAACCATCTCTGTAAATGTGTCATACTCCCAAACTGTATCCTAACATGACAAAGTCCCTGGCAGCCTTCTCCTCCACCCCCACTAGCCACTATTTTACCTTCTGTCTATATGAGCTTGACTGTCGTGAGCATCTGCACTAACGTGGAATTTAAGAAAATATTTCAAGCATCCTTTCCCAACTGCCCTAATGCCCTTTGAAAAGAGGCTGATGTGTATGTTATGAAAATACGTCTTGCTAATAGACATCATTTCCATTACCAGCACATCGCACATGTTTCCCTTCTCAGTGGCTTTGATGAGCTGGCGACGTTGCACTGGGGTGGAACGTTGGGAGAGGTTTCCCTTCTGCTCTTGGAGCAATAACACATAGGCCTATCACTGTTTTTGAAAATATGATTTAAAATTTTAAAAGCACTGTAGAGGGTGGAGAAAGGTCGGTTGAGAATGGGTTCTGTCTGTCAGTGAAGGTGGCAGTCCCCAGGATGATTTCCAAATGCCATTTCAGCTCTCTGGAGATTGACAATACCCTTTAAATGGAGAATAATTGGTCACCGCCTTCCTTTAAATGGGCCATGCGTCGTATTTCACTAAATGTCATTGCCAGGTGAATGAGAGGCTCAGCTTCACTCTGAAGTCCCTTTGCTCTGTGACACTTCAGTCAGGTCTTTCGGAATGTACCTTCTCACCCTGATCTTTGCCCCTCAGCAGTGGGAGACATGAGTAGGGGAGACAGAAGAGGGAAGGGATGAAAAATGAGGCATCCAGGAAACGATCCAAGCAGGGAAAGTTATAGGAGGCACTGTCACAGAGGAAGCTCCAGTTCCTGGACCAGTCCTGGGCATTTATTCCATCTGGCCCAGGCTTCTGTTTCTCACCTTCTTCTCCCTCCTTTTTCAGCTCAGTCTCAAGGAAAACAGGATTTGACGTACTCTGAGCTTTATGAGGGAAATGGGAGTTTCCCTCTGGCCTTCCTGTATCCTTTAGGATGTCACCTGTAGGGGACCCACGCATGATGGCAGTCACCTGCAATCCTACGCTGTCTCTAAAAAACCGTAACAGTGAAAAACAAACAAACAAACCAACCAACCAAGATGTTACCTATGTGTGGCCCCTTTTTTGGGCACTTATAGTACAGTCCCAAGTGGACGTCAAATGTCACATTCATTTAGCATAACTTAGCACGGTGGATGTTTTCTTACTTAACAGACAAGAACAAACTGAGTAGGGGGTTGCATAGCATGCAGTAAGGGGCTAGTCCCTTTCCTGGGCATCCAGATCCTTTGAAATTTAGAGGATGAGCGAGGGCTTCCCCTGCGAGCTTGATCCTGGGCTAAAACCACTGGTGTCTGACACGGGGCTCCTGCTGGGCTCAGCTCTGAGCGGCAGCTCTTCCCATCCCACCAGACACTGGGCTGTAATTACTAGCTCCAGCACCTCTCAGCGAGCATGGGAGAAGGCTTCAGCTTCTCAGGGCCAGAGCTTCTAATAGCAGAGACAGAGGGAGAAGCAGTTTGTAGGCTGGGGTGAAGCAGTGTGTGCCAAAGCCTTCTATAGTGTGGCCTGTTGTCTTCAGTTGTTGATGGGGGCTGCTTATGCTTTGGCCATGGGAGAATTCACTGGCTGATCAGCTGGCATAAGGAAACATATAGCAGAGGCGCACTGTTTATGCAAAAGGCCCATGCAGCTATTTTATGGCGGCTTACCAGAGGTCCTGAAACCTGACTTGTAGGCACTGTTACCTAGCAACCTGTTATAAAGTCACCAGGGAGTGAGATGCATGGGTAATTTTTTTGTGTGTGCATATTTGGATGTAGATGTAAACTTGGTGGCTGTGGCAGGGCCTACCCATGGGAGGAGAAGTTATGTTAAAGGGAAAGGAATACGTTTTTCTGCGGAGATTGTCCCCCGCCCCCACTGCGTGGTTGGCCTGGCCCTGCTGCTGGTTGCTGTGCCTTCTACCTGCTCTCTCGGTGGCTCTGTCATTCAGGGACGCAGTCCCCGGGAGCGATGGCTGAGTCTTCAGCTCTCCCTGCCCTCTGATGGTGTGAGTGAGCAGTGCTGAGCCCCAGGCCCTGTCCCTTGCTTGTCATAATGGTGCCATTGTTTTTGCACTGTTTTCCCCCCTTCAGGGCTCTGTCCTTGCACCTGCTGGTACGATAGGGTGCAGCTGTTTGTGGGCACTGGGTCTGGAGTCTCTGTGCCAGATCGCAGTCTGCAAAAATCGGAGCACAGGGACAAATTCAAGTGTGGAGACACCTACTTGTTTCCAAATGAGAGAGAGAAAACACTCGATGCTTTTTGCTCCCTGTGGATTAAAACCAAGCGTAAAACTGACTGAATGGTGCCCGCTCACTGGGTAGGATACAGTTTTAAATTCGTTCTAACCCAGCAGTTCTCAACCTGTGGGTCTTGACCCCTTCCAGGATCACCTAAGACCATTGGAAGACACAGACATTTACATTATGATTCACAACAGTAGCAAAATTACAGTTAGGAAGTAGCAACAAAAATATTTCACATTTGGGGGTCACACAACATGAGAAACTCCATCAGAGGGTCACAGCAGCAGAAAGACTACGAGCCGCTCGCTGCAACCCTCCCCCAGTTTGGAGGTTTCCTGGTTACATGCTTGTGAAATAAAATTCAGCCTCTGAACCACCAGCTATTTTCCTCACTGAATCCCAACTTAACATTCCTCAATCTTTGAGGCTCGTGGACCCAGGCTCACAATCGTGGTTGGTTCAGCCCAACTGCTAGCTATCTGCATTGGTGGGCAAAAAAATAATTGTGTAGACTTTGCTTTGGGTTTGGAGCAGGGAGGCAGTCTGTCCAGGGCTGTAGCCCTCTGTTTACACAGCTCTTTCCTGGAAGACTATGTAAATTGTTGGATGACAGGGCGACCTACCCCAGGTCACATGACTGGGAGTGTCCCTAGGAGGGGTGCCTGCCCAGCCTAGGAAGCTACTATGGGCCTGTCTACGGAGGTCAACAGCAGTTAACCTCCACAGCAAGTTAGACCTACTTAGGGAGTTTTGGTAAAATGCCAGGGCCCCCCAAATGCTGGTTTAATTAATTGGTCTGGGATAGGCCCCAGACTTTGGTGATTCTAAAAGGCAGGCAGCCAGGACAAAGGCCAGCTGATAGAGAGTGGGCACCCTGCGGCTAGAGATGCAGCCTAGTTGGCAGCCTGCTGCCTGTGTGGTCAGAGCCCTGGGTGCAGTCTCCAGCATACACGGGTGGAAAAGGTGATGCTCACCTGTGGTCCCAGCACGAGGCAGGTGGAGGCAGGAGGAGCAGAAGTTTACTCTTCAGCCACATAGAGAAAGAGAGCAACCTGGGCTGCTTGAGGCGCTATTTCAGCAGAGCCAAATAATCCTCAAAACAAACAAATGAAAACCCCTAAACTGGTCCTTGGTATAGTATTTTTCAGAACAGCTTCTGAATGCCTGAGTCCGTTGTCCTTTCATTCTGCCTGAGCCCATGAACAGGGCGTGATGCTGTGAGAGGAGTCCTAGACACCTCATTGCAGGTCACGGTTGACACGAAGGGAGGCCTGGGTGGTACGCTTCTTGTTCCCTATGGTTTCCCTCCAGAGGGCTCATGGCAAGAGATGTTGTCCAGTTTGAAAATCCCCAGGCTAGATTGGAAGCCTCCAAATGCTGGGAGCCAGGGACCTGGGGAGATGGCTCCTTTAGTAAAATGTTTACCCCTTCAGTAAAGACTTTACCCGAGAAAGCACGAAGACATCACTTTAATCCCCAGCACCCATGGGAAAATTGGGTGTGGTGGCACAAACTTGTAATCCCAGCCAGCGATAAGGAGAGGCATGGGTGGATCCCTGAGGGTCACTGGGCAGCCTTGTCAAGTCCTAGGTACAGAGGGAGCCCCGTCTCAGCAAGGTGGACAGCTAAGAATGACACCCAAGGTTGACATCTGGACTGTATGTACCTGGGCACCTCCCCCACGCCAGCATATGCACGAAGGCGCATATACCCACACCCAGAGCTGGAGCAGCCTTGTTAGAGGAACAAATTGCAAGTTGCCTGTAATGGTCTCCTATCGTCTTCTTCTTCAAGATGCCATTTTTCAAGATATAAATTTAATTCTAACTCCCCAAATTATAACCAAGCAGTTAGTTGACAGAAACTTGGCACCTCACTTGCTGGCAAGGGATATCTTTTTTGTCCCTGGCTTTCCAAAATAAAAGATATAAGTCATTTCAACTATTTTTAATCTGGAAACTGACAAAAAAGTTTTGTGCCGTCTCCCACATCCTATTAGCTCGGGCAAAGCGACACCAAACTAATCTTAAGTAGGAAAGGTGGGCCTTCAGAGGTACCCTCTCACTTTCAGCCTCATAGAGAAAGCTTGTGAACAAACAGGCATTTGCTCCACTGTTTCTGGCTTACGGGTGCCTCAGCACAGT